GAGGGACAGGCTGCCCTCCATGGGGTCGGCGCTAAGCAGATGGGTGTGGACTCAGGAGGAATTTCTAGGGGCACCCCCCCCCGAGTATCGATCTCCCCCAAGCAGGGAGGAGTCAGGGATTGATCTGTGGGAAGGAGGGCCCCCCATCTCCTTCGCTATCTGTCTGGGGAGGTTCCAGCTTCACCCCGTTCATGGAGTCGGGCAAGGGCGCCCCTCCCTTCTCCCTGGTCTGTGTGCGTGTGCGTGCATGTGCGTGTGTGCGCGCGCGCGCGTGTGTGTGCATGTGCGTGTGTGTGTGTGTGTGAAGATGTTAAAGATGGAAGAGACTTGAACATATATTCCCAAGCTAAGGAGAAAGAGTCAGTGGGAAGAGAAAAGTCACAAGGAAAATCTATTAACCCTTGGGACCTCATTGGAGATGGGAGGATCTTAGAGAGCTGAGGTGTCTTTGATTTTACCTTTGGGGACTGAGAAGGTGCAGGCAGGCTGAGAGACCCCTTTCCCCCACCTTGCACGAATTTTGTGCACTGGGCCTCTAGTAAACAATGATCAAAAATATCAAACAATTTTATGCTTTTTTTTTTGCAAGTTTTGTATAAATTTGTAACCTTTATGGTTAGAAAATGTTCTGAAGCTTTTTCTCCGTGTCTCTCTCCGAAGAATGTTAAATGTACCACGGCATGATGGCTGTGGTCGTTGATCAGGATCTCCATGGGGTTGTTGCCCCACTCGATGAGGACCAGCTCGTTGGCCTGGCCGGGCACCGCGTCGGTGAAGGGCGTGCCCACGCCGGGCGCGGCGCTGGACTTGAGCCACATGCACACGGTGAAGGCGTACATCTCGGGCAGGCTCCTCTTCACCTTGGCGTACATGTAGTTGGTCCGCAGCGGGAACGTGAGCTGGAACTTGTCCCCGGGGCGGCTGTCCTTCTGGCCTGGGGAGGACGGACACAGTCCTGACGCCTGCACCCCGGGGAGCCCTGGAGGGAGCTGCTCAGCCAGAAGCCCTGAGCTGGCTCAAGGCTGGCAAGCTCAGTGGCAGGGTTGGGAGCCTCCTCTGCCTCCATTGCAGGAGGGCGGTAAGGAGCGAGGTGTCCCAACTGCGAGAGCCCCAGACTGCAAGGGGGATGTCTGCCTGTGGGCTTAGGCCTGATCCCCCAGGGCTCCTGGACTGTGAGAGGGCGCAGGCCGGT